TAACGACGTTTTTACGTTAGTTAGTTAGTCTGAGGACGAAAACTGCTCCTGACCGAAACAGCAAGAGTCATTGGTCCATTTTTATGTCCGCATTTCACTGACTGGCAGATTCTCTTCGTTACACATATGTTGCGCCTGCTTAAGGGAGACTGCATGCCTCTAGCTTTTTTGCCTCTTTATGTTTTTCAACCTATGTCTCCCGAGCTCTTCAGTTTATTCCTTGACGGCCTCACAGACGTGGACCAACTCACACTCATCCTCGAGGTACTCGGCTACCCATCGGAAAACGACAAAAAATGGATCGTAAATGCGAAGGTGATGTTTCAAACTGTCCCCTCTTAACTTAATTCCTGGTCAATGTCACTGATTCAAATTCCCTACTGTTGGTTTCGATGGAAGCGTGTTGCTAGTGTTTATGCTTTATGGTGAACATGACATTTCATCGGGACCGAAGTTAGTCATTGCATATACCAAAAGGGAGACAGTCAACTTTGCCTCTCATATCGACGGGCGGGCTTCACGAATTTAACAAGCCTGCACTCGACACGTTTTTGGCTCTCCGCTTGTTGTTTTTTTCTACGAAAATAAAATGCTTCACAGCACGAGCACGCTGTATCGATACAGGTTATTTCATATTTTTTTCCAGCCAAAGTGAGCTCTGTCTTAGTTACCTTCCACACAACCTCTTGAACCGCGTATAATTCAAACATAAGAGTCACAGGTTAAAGTCCACCAACTTAGCTTACTCCTCTTCCCCTGTCTGCAGTAGGAGTTTGTTGAGTATTCACAATTTTGAATGGCATCTTCAGCTTCATGAGCGTCCTAGAATTCATGCTCATCAAATCAGCTTGTTTTATCTATCTTAACTTCCATTGCCTCCTTGGACACTCGGCCTGGAGACCCCTTTTTGGGTTGCCAAATGCAGTATCAGTCCTGTCCAAGGTGGTCAGTTTAGCGTATCACTTTTTGCTCTGATGAGATCTGGCAGGCCTTTTTTGCTTAACGAGTATTTTCACCTGCTTGCATTTTCACCCATATGATGTACTCCTTTTGGTACCCTTTGACCTGACCTACGTTTTCACGATCTTACCGCACCCTTTTTCACACCCGAGACCTCCTTTGGTAGTGGCAGCAATTAGAATCGTCTTCTATTCCCAAAGCTTAAATGCCTATCTCTAATGTTCTCTACCCCTAAATCGTGGTTTATAGCACGGCGTCAACCTGCCCTCCTGTCGTGATCAGAATAGATGGAGTCGCGCGATTGGGTATATACGAGCCAAACAGATGAGGAGTCAGAATTAACGAGTGCTCAAGAGTTGGTCTATTCATCTTATAATTGGCATGCAAGGGCTAAAAAAAGATAAAGAATGCTCAGAGTAATATAGGCAGTTAGTGAACGTTCGCTAGGGGGCAGGGATGAACGTTCGTCAACGAGTGTCAGAGTGTTGTTAGCATGACACCCCCCTTATCTTTCACAGTTTAGAGGTGCCCTCCACTAGAAACTTGTTGGATTATTTTTCCTTCATTTGGGAAATCTGTCCCGGACGACCTGGTCTAAGATGTTAATGTTTCCACTTTCGGGTAACTTCGTGGACGTTTCTGACACTGATCTTTAAATGTGTCTTTGTCCTCCTAGTGATCTTTTTGTCGCCCGATAAAAGCACATTCTTTGGATTGCTAGAGTGCGAGGATATTTCACCATTTCAATCATTTTCGCACACTGGTGGAGTCTCCGGTGCTTCCACAACCTCAGAGCCATTGTTAAATATTGTGCTTGTCTTGTTGACAAATCCATTGGAGTAACGTTTTCTCTTTATTGTTACTCTGGTTCAGCGTCCTGCTTGGTAGTCAAAACAATCTAACCGTCGATTTATCCTCAAAGACGCGAGCAAGTGCTAAGGGATTCTGTGTTTCAACGCATTTGCATGTAAATGGAGGGGCAGTTCTTTTCTTCTTCACTTAGTTACACTAAAGCCCGGTTTATTGCCTCAACTAACGTGATGCTTATATGATGTATGCAAAAAAAACGTTTTGCCTGAGTCAACTCTTTGGTCAAGAGATTCACGAAGTGGAAGCAATATTCCTAACAGTCTTTGGACGGTATGCAAGATGAAATAGTGTCTTTGTTCTCACTGATAGCTTTTACAAGTTTGTTTATTGGTATATATTTTCTTGACTCTATGGAGAAAGTACAGCACTTAGCCCTGTTCTGGGACTGCCTGCTGGCTCATAATCATGAATCGTTTGCATTTAAGCTATAAGCGCCTACTTCGTTGGTTGGGCGCATTATAATTACTAAGAGTCTAAATTTTGAGGTCATCCAGAGTCTAAAAGTAGCCGTCATCAAAATCTTTGCAACATCAACCGAGAGCATGCTGGCTACCATATTTGGAATTACTCCGAGCATACTTTTCATACTCTTTTTTCCGAACTTATCAGATACCGAGTTCACGATTGCTCTACATTGGAAGCTGTTCCAATTGTGTTCTGCGTGTATGTACCTTTTTATACCGCGCACTCCGATAAAACAACAACTGTGCGCGTGTGTAAGGATTAGTCCTGCCGTCGGACATACTCAAAAGGGAGTAATTAAACAGCGGCAAAAGTATGCTATTCGTATGTTCTGCTGACGCCTCAGAAGCAGTCGGTCACATGTACTGCTGCTGTTGACATTTTTGCCTCCATTCCTTGTCAAAATGTGAACACTTCTAAATTTTATTAATCGAACCCATGGAATGGTGTAATTGTGGTGCCACTTTCATGACACTTACCGAGTAACCTAGTACGTGCCCAACAAAATTCGGACGTTTCGACCTTGTTCCTATTTTTTTCGAGCGTTTGTTGCTTGCTTGTTGGACTTAATTTATATTTGCATGTGATTTTGTAACTTTCTTCGTCGAAGTCTCTGTGTCAATCCATCAAGTTTGAGTATTATATGTCGTCGAACGCAAATTACAAACCCCGAGCTCCTTTAATATTAACTAATCCGGCATCCTAATCTGGATCACTTTCGATTTGGAAAACCTTAGGTGAGCGTACGATCTAGTTTTCCACACGAGCATAAGTCGGGAAGGAGAGTTAGAAAGTTGAGGAAAGAAGTAAGGAAGGGTGTGCATTTTATGTACTGCTTTTACCACAGTTTTAAGTAAACCTTTTAGAATTCTCTTGCGACCGACTTTTTCAGGTAGGTTTGCCGTACTCTGCCGGACAAGAATCGGGCCTCTCGTTCATATAAACTCACTTAATATTAATGCCCGGTGCAATTATTGTTGGACTGACTGTTAACAGATAGTCAAGTATTTTTAGCGCCATCAGCCATGCAAGTGACAACGCTTCACTGACATGCATGTAACTATTTCATAATCCTTAGTCGTAAGCTTCTGCCATCGCAGACAAACAAGTTTTTGTGTGTTTTTAATCCAAAAAGCCACTTGTCTTCCCTGTTGGATCAATTGCCATCGTCGACGTCTGCCGTCTGGCTTGCTCGGCTCGCGTGTAAGCTTTTCTTACATTGGGACATCTTTTATAACAGTCTTGTTGGTTAGCAAACGTATAAATCTAATCTGTACTGCAGGGTTCCGACGAACATACTCATTACTTTTTCCTCCGAGACTGCTCCTTTCCCCCCACCTCACAACGCCATGGCACTATCTTTTAGCCTTATGAATCTCACCCATGCCCTGACGAATACGTTTGCGTCAGACTATGCAATGTCTCCTGTGCGCTATCTGTTTGCGAAATTACTGCGCAAATTGCGCTTTCTATATCTGACGCCGAAAACACCACCGTAGTAGTAACAGCAGCAGCAGCAGCAGCAGCAGCAGCAGCAGCAGCAGCAGCAGCAGC